ACCTAAGTTTGGGTTTCGATATGAGGTTTGAATTCAGGGTGGTCAGTGGTGTCTATGCCGACTAGAAGAAAAGGTTATTCTTCAAGAAAAATGAGATTTGACTTTTGAATCTAATCATTTCGATGCACATAACCAAATTGTTAATGAGTTCAATGTTTTTTCTTCTATACAAGAATTCAAATTTTACCATTTAGTACTATGATTTAGTGATATTCTTCTTCACTTGTACTATAATCTAGTGATATTTTTCTTTAATTAAAAAAAATATATATCACTCTCTTCCTCTCTCGTATTTTAAAAACAAAAGTAAAAAAATTTCTCACACATTTTATGTGTGCCCATATGCTAGTATTGAATAAGAAAACCAAAATAAATAAAACTCACCAGCGGTTTGCGATCCAAATATGTCTAGAATTTGAGTTTTTGTGGTGGAGATGCTCTTTAGTAGTATGCCGGACAGAGAGACATCTCGTGTTTGCACAAAGCTTATCCCATTCATTCGCCCCATTCCATGCATCATTTGATGCCACGCTACGTCCACAAAACATCTTGTCAAAGATTGAAACGTGTCAAATACCAAAACAATATAAAACGTGCGAATTGTAGAGAGTTACCGAAAGGCTAAAGTGAAGGGGCCCATGACTCCATAGACTCCATCCCAAATTACCCAATGGAATTGCTCTTCCCGATCAAGGAAAATTTTTAAACGTGTCAAATATCATTCTGTGTGCTAATCATACTGAAAAATCTCTCTCCGTCACTTGACACGGTTGCCACTCACGTGAAATGAAAGGCAATTCTATTAAAGTCACCAACTTTTTCATTTTCTCCATCAATTTCTTTAAAGGTTCTTTCAAAGTTGAACTTTTATAAACTCTCGCCATCTCAACTTTCTAGCATATTATTTTATATAAAGATAATGTGACGGAGAGTTCATAAAGAGTTTCAATTTTCAAAATATTCTTAGTATTTGTCTTTATGTTAACATCACAAATTCTGCATTTTTGAATATACAACTTCAAACTTCCAAGAGCTTTAATCTTGAGACGTAGGGCAAAACCCAAAATCAGTAAACTCGTAGATGCACCCTAAGAGCATCATCAAGAGAGGTAACATTTGAGAAGCATAGCTAAATTTATTATGTCATGTACCCATATCCAACGAAGGTAGGAAATCATATGTTAGGAAAATCAAATTTTCAAACAAAATTTGTAAACAAAATGATACGTCATCAATAGAACATAAGCACGTTATTAACAACCACATGATACGTCATCAATAGAACATAAGCATGTTATCAACAACCACATCATTTGATTTATAAACATGTTATCAACACTTAAGTAATAATCCAATCATCAACAACCATATCATTTGATTTATAAAATTTGATCTCTTTAACGTTACTTTTTTGTTGAAAATTACTTTTGTTTTTTTTTTTTTTTTCTGGTTTTGGTTATCGAAACCAGAAGGGTAATGTTAGGTACATTAAATTTGGAGACAAAGTTTTGAAAACTAAAGAATATGTAAGTTGATGATTGGTTCGTTACTTAACGTTGATAAATATGCTCATTGTTATTGGTAACATATCATTTAGTTTTTAAATTTATTCTCTAAATTTAATCTTGCTAGCATTATCCAAATAAAAATTGTTAAATTAAGACCCGTGCGAAAACTCACGTGGTCGGCAATTTGGACTGGCGTGTTTATTCTTTTGCGTGTTGCGTTTCTCCAGCCTGGAAAGAAAAAGGCACTGTTTAAACCTTTCAAAAACCTACTATTAGGCCACTGTACTAATACTGTGGACCACCCCGTAGGGCACCAGAATCTATCCTACCTTACCTTGGTTGTTGGTACTTGGTGCTTACCCTCTGCGCATTTCCGAATTGTGCCACCCATATAAAAAACACCACGTTCACGTACGTACGTAACGTACCCCATAAGCGCCAAACAAAGTGTATGTGGTTCCCACACTAGGTCACTGGGTCCCGCTCCAAGGCATCTAAACTCCACTGTTTTAAAAATTTCTGCTAGCTAGCGTCGCCGAGGCTCCATTTAAACATTACATTACTGATCATTGTTCTGATTAACTTTTAAATATTTAAATGTTTATAAATGGAGCTTAAATTTGTTTAGACGTCCACCTAGTCCATTTAGGATCCTGTTTGGATTTGCCTAGACATCCATCTAAGTTACGATTCTTATTTACATAAAAAATCGATAGCTTTTGTATTATATTTTTTTAAATAAAATGTAAGAGACATATTGAATACTTGGATAAATACTTATTACATGATTCTTCCTCATGTTTTCATGCATTAATACTTTATAATTTTTATGTCATTTTCTTTTACAATTTTTGTATCATAATACAATTATGTATTTTTTTAAGTATAAGAAAATCTTGTTTGTACGATGTATAATATTTACTTAAATCCGCCTATAGGCTCTGCCTAACCATCTAGATGCTAGGCTTCACCCAGCTACCCTATTAATGGCCAACTTTTTTTAGAATTTTGCTGAACTTTTTTATAATGCATTTACCATCATTATATTATCTTAATTCAATAATGTATTATTATGTGTCATTGAGGCTTCTCAACAAACTAAAACATCAACGATCAAAACGTTATATGATCGAGAACTCGTTTCAAATAAGTCATTTTGACTCTCAAAAGCATGCCGACACCAATGCTAAATATCGAATTATATTATATTGCAGTGGCAACAATGATGCATGCGGGAGCAAAATATTTAAAATAATCCCAAAAGCAGTGAATAAATTTGGTCTCGAACTCTGCACCAAGGCAAAGCTTCTACTCATTTCTAGCTGGGTGATGTCATCGCTTATCGACACCTTCTCTGACTCTGACTCTGACTCTCTCCAATTATGCACCAGCTAAGACAGTCTTCTGCCCACGTCATGCCTCTATGTGTCATGAAAGCCTACTAGGTGGGCCCTATCAAATGGTGAATAAAAGTCTTAACGGGAGAGATTCTTATTTTTTTAGAAAAAATAGAAACACGCTATTTACCGTTGAATTTAACTTTAATAAAATTATTTAGTTTAGATTGTATAGTCTATGTTTTAATCTTAACAACATAATATTATTAAAATTAATCTAACGGTGGGGAGTTTGTCCCCATTTTTTTTTAAAAATAAGGATCCCTCCCCTTAAGCAATTTGTAAAAGATCACATCCCGTTTTACTTTTCACACATTTTTTTAATTTTTCATTATCGAATCGGATAAATTAAAGAAAACCAATGAATAAAAATTAACAAAGATTATGTAAAAAATAAAATGAGATATGTACATAGCACGTCATTAGATTAAAGGTACCATGAACCCTTTCAAAATTTTTTTACCCTCCCCTATTTTTTTCATAATATTTTCTTGCTGTCCTTTTTACCAACTGCATTGGTACGTTTTTGAAAAGTAATTTTTATCTAATTTTTCTTTATTTCTAGTTAGCGAATAAATTAATTAAACGAATTTAATATAGTAATTAAAAAAATATGCGTAGAAGATCAAAATGAGTATGTAATATTTTTTAATTTATTAATTTCTTTATTAGAGATAACAAAGATAAGTGTTACCACTTAATATTATAATCTAGTTATATTTTTTTTATTAATAAATGAGAGTTTTTATATTCAATTCTTACAAAAAGTGAATTTGAATCACATTATTGTAGTCCTTTTAAGCAGCATATTCTGAGACTTAACCCTCTTTCTCACTCTCTTAATATAGATAGTATCGTTTATTTAAAAAAAACAAAGATAAGTGTTAAAGTACATTATAATTGGATAGATGTCACAAAATTAAAGATGCCATATTATAATTGGTTTCGAAACTAGTACGCATAACAAAATATAAAATAAAAAAAAATGAGAGTACAAAAAAAAAAATTTAAATCACACTCTATACTTACTAAAAATTGAGAATAGTCTTTAGAAACATCATCACATTTTTCAATTTATTTATCTCTACTGATATGACAACAGCTCCCTTGTTTAGAATTTAATCTCATTAAGGCATAAAAAATAAACGACATTCATGAGTTGGCATTCAACATAATTCAAAATTTCTCTTTCAACACTACTAAGAATTTGGAAATATCATTTAAGGTCGATTCATATTTTTCGTAACCAATAAAAACAAAATTTCACATATATAATATGATATAACTTTGACATAACTATTTGAGAAATGCACTCTTTCAAAAAACAAAAAGGAACTTTGTATGAACGTTCCGTCACTTTATATTTTTAGTATCTTGTTTTATAATATTTGATACAAAAATTATGCTAAAAATATGTAAAGACAGAATTTAAAAAGAATCTCACTCTTATAAGAATCTCTTTAGCATTTATACAACCATTTTTTTTTAAACATAGTTTTTATGTTTATTTATTAAATTAAATAAATTAAACAAAAATACGGACATAATCCAACATATCTACTTTTTTATCAGTTTCCCCATATAAATCAGAGGTGAGAGATAGGCATGAATACCTAGGCGCATGCGGGGTCACGAGTCTCTACGGCTTAAAGTCAGCATCAAGTGCCTGGAACAAACCTCTCTGCTCTCTATACCACCACCCAGGTCACTTCCTATTCGTATCATATTTTTATATAAATTTAAATGATATTTAATGTAAACAGTCATATTATTTGAATTAAACAAAATTTTAAATTTACTTCATTATTTAATAAATTAGTTAATTAAATGATGTGGTATACGAGAAGTTTTTCTTTTTCTTTTTCTAGGGTTTTTTTAAATAATGTGAATCACATCAGATACCACATAAAATGATATAGAAATGTAATATAAAAATAACATTATCATGATAAATCCTACAGCCTGGCAAACCCAAGGGTCTCCAGAGCCCTCTAGGTCCAATCACCAACTCCCACGTGGAAGCCAGAGACTGTAACACCTTTGCTCTCTACAGCTGTCTTCCTTATCGTCCGGGTATAAATACCAACCCAAACCAAATTCACCAAATCGTCCTCCCTCTCTCTGTCTACCCCTTCGCCCCACTCCCCCAGAGAAGCCTAAAATCCTCACCGTCCTTCGGAATGTATCCGATTTACCATTTTGCCACTGCTCTCTTGCTCCTGCTTTTGGTGGCGAAGCCCGGTTTTGGCGCTTTAGTGGAGGAGCAGCCACTGGTGCTCAAGTACCACAACGGTGCTCTTCTTAAGGGCAACATCACCGTCAATCTTATTTGGTACGGCAGCTTCACCCCTATCCAGCGGTCCATCATCGTCGACTTCATCCACTCCCTCGCCCCCCGGCGTTCCCCACTCCCCTCCGCCTCCTCCTGGTGGAAAACCACCGAGAAGTACAGGGGCGGCGCCACCAATCTCGTCGTCGGCAGGCAAATCCTCCACGAGGCCTACTCTCTCGGAAAGTCCCTCCGTAACCGACACCTGGTGGCCCTCGCCGGCAAAGTCAACGCGTTGAACGCCATCAACGTTGTTTTGACTGCCAGTGACGTGGTGGTCGACGGTTTCTGTAGCCGCTGCGGGACCCACGGCTCCAACCGGGACAAAAAGACGGCTTACGTGTGGGTTGGGAACTCGGTGGTCCAGTGCCCCGGCCAATGCGCCTGGCCCTTTCACCAGCCCATATACGGCCCGCAAACTCCGCCGTTAGTGGCTCCGAACGGCGACGTCGGAGTTGATGGCATGATCATAAACATCGCCACTCTCTTGGCGGGAACCGTAACGAATCCGTATAACAATGGGTACTTCCAAGGGCCGGCCAGCGCGCCGCTCGAGGCGGTTTCTGCCTGCACCGGCGTTTTCGGAACCGGGGCCTACTCTGGGGATCCGGGTCGGGTCCTGGTGGACAAGGCGACCGGGGCGAGCTACAACGCGGTTGGGGTAAACGGGCGTAGGTTCCTATTGCCAGCCATGTGGGACCCGCAAACGTCTGCATGCAAGCCGCTTGTGTGACCGACGTGGCAAGCATCTGTAGCGCACGTGATCGTGTAGATATTATTATAATATTATATATTATTATAAAATGTGTTGCACCGGGAGGGTGGATAGGGTTAGGGGGGTTTTGTACACACTTCAAGTCTGTCGTCTTGCGTGACATGTAAATCTTGTTTCCTGTCTTAAGAATACCTTGGCAACTAAAACCTTACTGATTTTAAATTTTTGCAAATCTTTTTTCCCGTCTTAAAAGTATTTTATGATTTTTTTTTTGGGGTAAATTACTGTTCAACTCTTTGAACTGTCAGTTGAAATTGAAAATTTAAATTATTTGTTTGGCAAATTATCTCTTGAATTATTTAAAATCAGTCGGTTAATCTCTTCCTTGTTTGATTGCGAGATTAATTTGGGATAAATTAGTTATTTCATTGTTAATTTTTACTTGTTAGTTATAATTAGCTATTATAAAGTTTCGACATATGAACACAAAATAGTTCAAAAATATATAGCATTTAACGGATCATCTTATATATTGTTACACATTATTTTGTCTCAACATGTCATAATTATATTGCTTGTTATAATTAACAAGTAAAAATTGATGAAAGAATGACGAATTTGATGAAATAGTGGAAGAAATCTAGCGAAAAGTGATTAATTGGCTTATTCAAATAGTTTAGGGTTTTATCACAAAACTAGTTAGGGGATCAATTTTAACTGAAGTAATAATTCAAGGGATCAAATGGGGCAGTTTACCTTTTTTTTATTTTTATTTGGGAAGCCAGTGTACCTTTTTTTGGACAAACGATATAAACTACATTAAGAATACAGAAGAGCGTTATGTTTCATAAGAGATTAGTAATAATAATCACTTCGCCAGAATCGAATATAAATTTTTTTAATTACAAATAAATAAGAATATTATTAAACGAGAAATATTATTAAATTGTAATATTAAATGACTTACTCTATGATATTTTATACAAATGTCTATTTGATGTGACATGATTGGAGATGAATGTTTTCTCCATACTTTTTGACATTTATTTTATTAAGTTATTTTGTAAAAGAGTTCAACGATTTGATTGTTTATTTTATAATATAAAATTCTTGAGGTAAGACGAAAAAAAAAAACCTACAATTAGATTGTTAAAATTTAGGAAATTGTTATAAGTACTTTAAAAAGCTTATTTGACACTTTAAATTTTTTATAATTAGAAAGAAAAATACACTTATGAAGAGTGTATAATGAAAATTTTGAAGCACTAATAACAATTTCCAAAATTTATTATAAATCTATCAATGTGGCATATATTCCGTGTATTATGCGTACTAAAATTTTGGCATGTGGGTGGCATATTATGAATAAAAACAGTGTTTATCACAAAAATGTCTTTGAGATTGATCAAACTTATTATTTTAGTCCTTTTACTTTAAATATCAATTAATGTCGTCCTTGACATTCATTACCCCACATCAATTTGGTCATTCTATTAAGATTTCATCAACTATTCTGTTAATTTGTATGTGAGACTCACCTAATATTGATCAAACTCCTCATTTTGGTCCCTGTGTTTCAAAAATCAATAAATTTGGTCTTTAACTTTCACATCAATTTACCCTTCCATTAAATTTTCATCAATCTTTTTTGTTTGTGTGCTGATGTGATCTCACTAATTCAATTTATGACTCCACGTGGATTAAATAGAACAAGCTATTTTTTTAAGAGTGGACCAATGGATGAATATTTCGCGTTGACATTTTTCTTGTATCCCACAACCCCAATTGGAAAAAAAATTCAATCTAAATTCGATAAAATCAAATACAAATTCAATTCAAATTTGATAGGACTATAACCAATTAGAGAGAATGAGGAGTGAGTTCAGGAGGTCAAGTACTTTAGTGGTGTCATAGTGCCTTCTTTTTCTTTTGTAGCATACTTGATGAAGACGACGATCACTTTTTTTCTTTAGTTTTGGTTTTTAGTTTTTTATTTTACTTTTACTTTTAAATCTTAAAAAAAAAAAAGAAAAGAAAAAGGTTTCTCATAATGAATCCACGTGGTGCTATATGATTGGATTAGTGGGACAAAAAATATTGACGAAACTTTAATGGAATGATTAAATTGACGTGTGGTATTGAAAGTCAGGGACCAAATTTATCAATTTTTGAAACTTAGGGACCAAAATAAAAAGTTGGATCAATGTCAAGGACAATTTGTGATAAAAACCCTTATTTTGTGTAATCCACTTGTCGCCATTCCATTAGATTTGTGGGTCTCGCATACATACTAACAGAATAGTTGACTGAATCTTGACAGAATGACCAAATTGATGTAGGGTAATGAATGTCTGAACAATATTGATTGATTTTGAAAGTAAGAAAACAAAATGATGAGTTTGATCAATTTCAGTGACCATTTACGGTAAAAACCCTAAAAGAATATTGTGCACATTACATAAGTACATAATATAAAAATATATTGTCTCACTTTTCTCTTTTGTAGATTCCAAAAATATAGAAATTTAAGGATTTAATTTAGGAAATTTTAACGAAAAGTTTCCGATACTGTTTACTTTAACGAAAAACCACATTTTTACATTAAAAAGTCAATCTTGGTACTATTTACTTTACCTTTTATTTTATCGTTTTCGTTAAAACTCAAAAGTTTCAAAACTTTTTTCACTAATTTTCCTTTTAATTTATTGAAATTTTTTAAATTTATAATGATTGTTGTGGAAAGAAGTTGAAGAACTTTATAAAAAATTTGAAAGACACACCGTTTCAATTAATAAAATGTCATCACCAGGAATTAAAACCTAATTTTTCTTATAAAAAACGTGGAAAAAAAAGAAAAAAAAATCAAATGGAGATAAAATGCTTTTCGGAAAGTAAAGAGAAAAATGTTGGGTAATACTAGAAAGAACAAATTTATAAACTAAATGATGTGGTTGTAAATGTTGAATTATTAATTAAGTATCGATTAACGTGCTTATATTTTTATTGATGATACATCATTTAATTTACAAATTTAATTTAAAAAATTTGATGACATTCCACAAAATGATGTCTTAAAAGTAAAAGACGAAAGGATGGTGGGAATGTCATTATGAGCATGTCTTTCGCTTTTGGCGATCAGAGTTTGTATTTTGCCATGTAGAGGAAAGCTTAATGATGAGTTAGCATCACGTGGAGGAAAGGTTTTTCGATGTCATCGTCACACGAAGTGATACATTACGTATTTTTATATAAATGATGGGTTATGTGTGTTAAAAGGTTAATAACTTAAAAATTAAAAATTTCCACCATTTGCATAAAAACACGTAAAGTACCATCCGTGTTTCCGTCACAACTAAAACTTTCTACTCGGGGAGAATAATGTAATAAATGGTGATTAGGTATACTGTTACGGTGACGTATAATGCAAATAATATCAGAATGTGTAGTACTTTCTCTCGATGGGTATCAATATTATAAGTACAAGATGTCAGTACTCACGTCAAATAAACTGTTCTCCACATATAATCCAAAGAGCAAAAACTTCGTACATGATACCTGATGTAAAAACTGTTCAATTCAATTTCTTGATCGTTAATTACTAAAAGAGAACGAATCGGTGTGTATTCTTGCCAACGACGACCATGATTACCTGATGTAATGTAGGAGAGAAGGAGGCTTGGTTTCTCACATGCAGAGCTATGAGCTGTTATATACATGCTTGACACTTCAAACCCATCATACATGACAAAGCTCGGAGTACAAATTCCGGTACAAGCAGGACAAAACAACGAAGCATGCTAGTGAAAGGATTTTTAGGATTTGAGAAACTACGCCTCCGGATTCTGTAAACAATTCCAGCAAGTTCATCGCTTGTGATTAAATTTCATCGCATTGTAACAAGTTAAGAATCTACTTCGCATTGTGATCAAGTGATTAGACAACATTTCCTTCTCAACATTTGACAATCCTATGATAATTTAGCTCAAACAAGTACACCGAGATACACAGTCATGACAAAATGCTCAATATGCATTGATGATCCAAACTACATTTCCAAAGGCGAGAACACAACTCGATCAACCAAACGCGATGAGAACAATTGTATTAATACTAAAGCATAAATCCAGACAATGGAATTCATTACCAATTACAAAAGGAATCGAAAACCCATTCGATTACCTAACGGGCCTTTTTCTTTCCAGCAACTGTGACCCTCTTACCCTTCAGAGTCCTAGTGTTGTTCTTGGTGCGCTGTCCTCTGCAAGGCAATCCCTGACTGTGGCGTATGCCTCTGTAGCACTGAATCTCCTTGAGTCTCCTTATATTCAAGGCATTGAACCTCCTCTGCAACACCAAAACAATCCCAATAAAACTTCCATCCAATGGAAACGGTGGCCATATCCCAAACCAGTCATGCAATCCCACGTGTGAAAGTTAGGACGTGATTGATTGACTTGAGATACCGCCACAATAATATCCCATTGCATGAAAAGGGAAACCCTAACAAAATAAGGGGGCATTCTGCTCCAACCACCGCAATTGATTGCGGTTAGAGGCGAAGGTGGCCTAATCTATCTACCACGCAAATATCGAAATTTAAACTCATCTAACGCTAATGGCAGGGAGCAAAAGTATAAAGTTTTGAGGGTTTACCAAATCTCCTTCAATCATGTACTTGGAGACTTCATCTCGGATAATGGTGAGTTCTTCTTCCGACAAATCTTTGGTGATTTTGTTCTCCATGTTGAGGTCGATTAGGATTGTTCGCGCCCTGGTACGCCCAATTCCATGAACGTACTGAAGAGAGTACTCGACCCTTTTGTTGTTGGGGATTTCAACTCCGCCAACACGCACGCATTTGATGCTCAAGCCGCCAACCTGCGCGGAAATCGGCGAGACCCATGAACTTCGAGCTCGACCATGAAATTTTGAGCTCGACCCAGAATTTAAAACGTGAAATTTACCTGATTGGGGGGTCTGATTGGGAAGGAGAGGGTGTTGGAGAGGGGATTAAGGTTCCTTCCATTGCAGATTACAGAGAGGGAGGGTGCCAGAGGCATTGCCAGTGTTTGCGCCATGGTTGTGATCTCTGCGTGTGTGTGTGAGTTGTGAAAGTAATGAGCTCTGTGTTTGTGTGTGGGTGACGATGGGGTCGAGCTTTATCCTCTTCTGGCAAAATCTCAAGTGCGCAACGCTGTATGTGCTGCTGCTTATGTGCGCAGCGTTTCGACACCGTTGGATCAAATATGGACAGTTTAGATTATGCTGAGATAAAAAGGTTTCACGTGGATACGGCTGAATACTTGGTGGGGCTGCGGTCGTGGCGGTAGATGTGGATTCCCAATGGAACCCCTTGGGGAGAAGAGTAGGGCATATTTAACTTGAATTGTTTGAATTCTTGAGTTTTTTGTCTATTGAAATATGGATAAGGAGATTAAGGAAAACTAAATATCTAAAATTTAAAAATCAGATCGACTGGAGGAACTAGTTGATTTGATTCCTGTTTCCTTCTCTTGCTATTTAGAGCATCTCCAAAGGAGGTGTCGAAATTACTATGTAGGCATACAATAGTAAAAAAATGGCAGCAAACTCTTTCCAACCGAACCTTTCATCGTGTATTTTCCGATGCGTTATTTATCTTACACTGTTAATACATACACCTCCCCATGGTTTTCTAACAAATATACATTAAATATACATTCAAGTAAGAAACAAACCAGAACCTCCTATATAACAGCAGAGGCTGAAAAGTGCCTCGATCCAAGCCTTCTCTTCCGTAGTCGCTCTGCAATGATAAAGGCCAGTTCAAGAGATTGGGAAGCGTTGAGCCTTGGGTCACAATGGGTGTGGTACCGTGAACTCAGATCATTATACGTTATAGTTCGTGAACCTCCTACACATTCCGTCACGTTTTGCCCTGTCATCTCTAAATGAGCACCTCCTGGGTAGCTTCCTTCTTGATCATGGACATCAAAGAACGCTCTCAACTCAGCCTGAGAGTTAAAAAACAATACGATCATTGCTCCTATTACAGTTGGACGTGTTACTGCAGCAAAGAAAACTACCAATGGTGGTTGGTGTTCAAGCGCATCGGAAGGGAATTTATTCGTTTTGACCAAATCACGGATTCATTCATTTCATACGATGTGCAATGATTAGAGCAACTGCTCAAAAATAAATTATTAGGCATTTGAATGGTAGTTTTTCCAGCAAACTAACAATCAATCGGGCCATTTATGAATGGCCAGCACTTCAAGCATTTTCTTCTCAATGGAGTGAAATAAAATCCTAGAAATAAATAAATTACTTTATTTGGAAATGAAATCATACCTTTCACTTCACGGAATGCAGTTATTTTTCCATTTTTACTTTTATTTTTTTTGTGAAAAATCTATTTTCAACTAAGGTAGAAATTGGTAGACTTACTTGACTGTGCACATTTTGACAGAATAGTGAATTTGTGCTATGTTCAAAACCGTTGCGCAAGGAAAACAAGTGGCAAGTGTGAAGGTGTAAATTTATGACATCATACCCGTATTGCATCGAAGGAACGAGTTTTGAGTCCACACGGAGCTTTGATAGTGTTCCCATGCATAGGGTCACTAACCCAAGTGACAATTTGACCAGCTCCACGAACTGCCCTGATCAGATGAGGAAGCTTCACTCTCATGTTGTCAGCTCCCATTCTCACAATTATGGTTATTCTTCCTGGTTTGTTCTTGGGGTTTAGGATCTCTATGAGCCTAACAAGTTCATGTGGATCCATTTTATCACTCACCTGCATCACAATACAATCTATCATACACCACCTACATTTTCCGGTAGGAGAAACAGAAATATGTCTATCAGGTTCACGGTCACAAACCAAGTTATTCAACTAAGACTTCCAAGTTCATCATAAATAACTGCGTTAATTTTGTTCATACAAAATAACAAATGAAAAGGAATTTAGTATCAGAAATAAAAAAGAAGTAATTTTTAGAGCATAAGTGAAAGCAGAAGTGCAGGATACCTTGATGCCAAGGGGATTAGCAACTCCTCTCAGAAACTCCACATGTGCACCATCGAGTTGACGGGTGCGTTCCCCAACCCAAAGCATGTGAGCAGAACAGTCATAGTAAAGCCCAGAAGTAGAATCCTCCCTAGTAAGTGCTTGTTCATAAGGCAGAAGCAAGCATTCATGAGATGTCCAAAACTCTGTTGAGGTCATGATTGGGTGGTCAACTGTGAGTCCAACAGCAGCCATAAATCCAAGGACCTCATCCACCCGGTTAGCCAACTCGCGGTATCTATTGAGCCAGGTCAATTTTATGGTTAAGCCTAAACTTTTTCCCTAGTACTGAAATTGAAGATACTCGGTTGAACTCTTAAGCTACTGCAAACTAATCCACACAGAAGTCAAGGTATGTAAGTTCTGGAAATACACATGTTGAAACATTATTCAAGTACGGAACGTACTTCCTCATTGTCATCTCAACTATTTGTTCCCTTCTCCGCTCATAATAAATTCTACTCTATTAAAAAACATCATTAAACTTAAGTGTGAGGCTCAAGACAAACTAATAAAATGATCTAGGGCATGTTTGGAATACTAAAGAATGCACTCTCATGTTATCATACACATACGCAGTTAAGCTAGATGTAGAAAAAGGACTCAACCACCTAAATGAGGTCATCAAAACAATCAAGCCCACATCACTAGATGGCTTTCGGGGCCTTCCAGCATGAATTATATTATCCGGAACTTCACTGATATTCAGCACCACTTTAAAAAAAAAGTCTATTTAAGATATCATATGTGATGATGTGTGAAACACAAAGTGGTTGCTAAATAGTGAGGACATAAGTTTGAAACTATAAAGGAGCAAGAAGCATACCTATCCCCTTGCTCGCTATGCTCTGTAAAATCCAAATTCCAGTGGGTGACTCTCTGCATGGCTGCATACCCTCCAGTTGAAAATGCCCGCAGGAGGTTCAAAGTTGCCACAGATTGGCAATAAGCCCTAATCATCCTGCTGGGGTCCGGAATTCTTTCTTTTTCATCAAATGCATCACCATTGATATTGTCACCTCTGTAACTAGGCAGCTTGACACCATTTTTCTCTTCAAATTGATCTGATCTTGGCTTTGCGAACTGGCCAGCCATTCTCCCTACCTAAATTATCATAGCCATAATTTATGTCACTCAAACTCACCAACATTAATAATTATTATATCAATCAGTTAAAACTCAATGGCGAATAATTACAGATTAGAAAAGTTTTACCATGACTCATTTCTAAGATTACAGTTCTACCATAGGGAACCAAAATATCAAAAAAAATGACAAATAACAAGTTTGGTTCTTTTTATTTTTATTTTTATGAAAGACAATATTGTATTATTGGAGAATAACAAAGTTGAGTACAACGAGGGAGAAAATGTTGGAATCTAACACACCCAGAAGAGGGCGAAGGACCAGGCGAGACAAATGAAACATAAAGGCTTGGTGGTTGGACTCCTTTCATAGCCTTACTCTCCTTCCTCTTAGAACGTGTGGAAGAACAAAGATCCCAAGACTAAGGTCCTCAAACTACTAAAGTATCCAAACTCCCAATAGAGCGTCTCTGAAACACGGATGGAACCCGAGTCCTCAATCAAAATCAACAAAGCCTTATCCCAATCCTCAACAATGTATCATTAACGAGTTTGGTTCTTAAAATTCAATTAGCATTCTACCTACCAATGCATTCTAATTTCATCAATTAATTTTTATTTTTAAAGGCCTAAAACAATCATACGCCCATAACCAAAATTTCAGATAACCCAACGAACACAAATCCCAGCATGCCTCCTCAAAAATTTAAAAAAAAAAAGCTCAATATTTAAACAGAAATGATTAAAATACATGTTGGTTTTAGAAGAACAAAAATAATAAAATGGAAGAAAGAAGGAGGGAGGAAAGCCATGACCTTAATAACAGGCATTTGGCCACCAAACATAAGCACCACACCCATCTGAAGAAGCACACGGAAGGTGTCCCTTATATTGTTAGCATTGAATTCCTGGAAGCTCTCTGCGCAATCACCGCCCTGAAGAAGGAAGGCCTGCCCCTTAGCAGCCTGACCCAGTTTCTCTTCCAAGCTCCTCGCCTCTCCGGCGAACACAATCGGCGGGTAGCTCTCGAGGGTGTTGAGAACCGACTGCAGCTCCTGCTGATCTGGGTATTCAGGAAGCTGCATCGCCTTCTTCGCCGTCCAGCTGTCCAGCGTCCATTTGGGCTGTGGTTTGAAGGGTGATTCGGAGGACTTTGAAGGGTCGGCGGCATGGACGGCCGAGATGGGTTTCTGGGTTCGGAGGTGGGGCTCCGAGTGGTGGTAGTTATGAGGTTTGATGGGTTCGGGGATGATGAGGGATTTGAACGAGAGAGCAGTCTGAACAGAAATCGCCATTTTCTTGCAAGGCAATTTTGGATGTAGGAACTTGGAAGAGAGGATTATTTTATGTGTGGGTTTGTAGTGAAATTCGGATTTGAGAGGATTTAGAAAGATTTTAAAATTCTAGCGTAGTCAATTAAAATATTTTAAATGATTTTAGAATTCATTTAAATCTAGGTGTAGTCAATTAAAAGATTTTAAAGGATTTTAAAATTCATTCAAATCTAAGTGTATTAAAACAATTAAGATTTTGGAGGATTTCAACAAGTTGTGGATTTTGTGGGATTTGAGAGCAAAATGTATATATAACCAAGACTAAAAAAAATTCAACCTCACCCCCTAGGATTTCAACATGTCCCTAATTTTACGATTTTATTAAATTTAAAAGAGTAAATTGACGAAAATGCCCCTAAAGGTGAGATCGTTGACTTTCGTTGGCTATCTTTTTGTGACACGTGCGAGTTACTATTTTATCGTATTCTCAAAGTACTCAACAGTACGAATGCCTAGGTGCAAAAGGAATCGAAACTGGAGTTACGGTTAAAATTTTACGGACTTAAGATGTTCAATGGCATTTTAATATTTTTCGTGTAGGATTTTCTGCATGGTGGTACCCACCCACGTGGGTCTCCTATCCCTTTGTCCCTGTGTCACTTCTTCTCCCACACTTTCTCGGATTCCCTCACCTTTATCTCCAGGGCCAGTCCAGACCCAGTGTTGGCAGGGCGATCGTTCAGGGTCCAAAATAATTAGGGGCACCAAAATTATTAGGTGACATATTTACATATGTTTTCATAAGAGTATAAATTTATAAAATTTGGTTCTGGCAAAGAAATTGAACCAGAATTGGTGGTTTTGTTGTTTGAAATTAATGAGGAGGTCTTGGATTCAAAACACCATGTGTGCTTATTTTTTTTTTTAATTTTTACAAATTTCTTTTCATTATAAGAGTATAAATATATAAAATTTGACTAAATGATCAAGAAGTTTAATTTGAATCAATGGTTTTAAAATTAATGAGAGCTCCTAAGTTCGAAATGCTAAGTGCGTGTTTATTATTTTCAATTTTTACGAATTTTTGTTTGGTTAATTTATTTTTAGTTAGTAGCTATATGGGTTGTTATTTTTAAACATTTATTCAAATTCAAGTCTAATATTCAACAAAGAGTCATGCGTTGACCAAATTTTTAGACCAAATTTGTAAATTATATGACATGTCATCAAAAAGTTTAATTTAGTACCCATTTATTACTTATGTATATCAACTAAAGACTCAAAAACATCATTATTTTTTTAGTCTCATATTGACAAGGTTAGTAAATAAGAAAAAACACCTCACGATTTATACAAAAACACTTTAAAAGTTCAGATAGAAAACAAAACTCATATCTATCTACTTGTAAACCCAAAGTTTTTTTGTTTCCTTCTCACGATACAAAATAAATTAGTTTTTCCATATTTATAAATTATTAAGTTTGAAGTGTTTTTCTAAGTATAATTTTATCGTTATCTTACATGTGAAAACAAATAATTTTCTTATATAAAGTGAGGGCACATTTTTTGGCGTCACCCTGGGCCTAAAACATTTCTGGACTGGCCCTGTTTATCTCTCTCATCTCTCATCTCTCATCCCTCACCCCTATTTTCGAACTCTCTCTCTCTCTCTGTGTTCTCTGTGCAACGTAGGGCAAGCGAGCCCCATCGCCGTATGTTACGTTCTCCGACGAGCTCAGTTGAACCAACCATTTGTAGCAGGCCTCGCAACAAATCATAATCAACGTGGATGCTTCTTCTCAACTCCCTCCCGTTTACCTCTCTTTGCAAGTGTAGAGAATGGCCATCACCATCGCTAGCCACATATAACTAGCGTACTCCGGCGAGTCCTCAGGTCACCATACGACTCTGTCTCTCTCGTCTGTTTTTTCTCTTTCCCTCTCATCTCTTTCTCGACCTCTCTCTAACTTTCTTTTCTTTCAGTGAAACACCGAGAAGTTGTAGTAGCCAACACCATCTCCAACCACTCACGACGATGGCCATTATGGCAAGCAATATCACACCACCTCATCCTTCATCTTGTCGTCTTCCCTCACAAACTTTCTCTCTCGTCCTTTTCCCTCTCGGTTCACTGATGCACAACACCATCACCACCCAATCTCACGAACTCCGACGATATTTCCAGTTCTTCGATCAAGGTAAGCCTTAGATCACCTATGCCCTTCCTCCTATAATGATTCAGAAGTAATGGTGACGCTGGATGTCTTATTTGGTGAGGTTTGATACATAAACATCTCAATGAAGAACTTCCCCAGATTCTGGAAAATTTAGGCCATGGCTGTCAGGCCACTTTCTAGGTTATTTTTTCGGCCAACGCCGACCACGACTCAGCCTAATCTTGGTATGGATTTGTTCCTCTCATGCTAAACTTCATTTCCATATAAATTATGTTGAATTTGGTTAAGTATCAAGCTCGAGATGAGCTTTGAAAGTTGGGAAGAAAATATGCAAAATCTGGAAATCGTGAGGAAGGCATGTGGCGTACATGATGACCGGCGCGTGGAGGAACTCGGGGTCCCTCCTTAGGTTTCTCGACGTGCCGAATCCGAATTTGAACTGCTCTCCGTTTTCCAAAATTCTACCATTTTAAAATAGTTTATTTATTAGTTGTACTTTGTACGAAAACACATTTACACAGTTAGTACATTATATATTTACATAAATGGTCTCGTTTCTAGGTGAAGCGCATTGCAAGGATCATCGATGCCCATGAAGCGGGTTCGACCCAATGACATGATTTGTGAGTGGGCCTTTTCTTCTATATAGTATATATATTTGTTAGTTTCCATTAATATATTTGAAAAAAAAATTTCTACATCACACCTAGATTAGGGTAACATATATAAAATTACCCTATTGACAAAATTCATGCAATTATACTACGTCCTACGGGATGCATATGTATGCATATTAGTATGGATGCTTTAATAGTATTTATGGTTATGAATAGTATTTCATTGACTAGGGTTATTGAATTATTGATTTACCATTGCATGATCATATTTACATTATCTGCTCATTGTATGCTGCATTGGTGTTAGGACTCGCCCAGGCCAGGGCCAGTCTTTCACGTGTATGTTCACATCGCACCGTATGCTCACTTTGGATCCATTGTAGGTACCAGTTTTGTCCTAGATTGCTATAGGCAATTAGGACTCTTATGTGATGCGCATAGCACCAATCTTTACGTGATTGTAGTACTAGAGCGTAAATCATTATTACACTCAGTCTTGTTCATGTCAGAATACCTGAGCATGAACTCATGTGTCAGCATATGTTGGTGAGCACTCTATGTGATATGTTTATTTTTGTGAGATATTGTGATTACTAGAAGTTATATGCCTATTTACGAATTTGGTGACGTATTGAATTCTTGAGATATTATAGGCTACGGTAAGTATTTTCATACAATACGTAGTATGTATATTTTGGAAACTATACTTGTTTTACAGCGAGGGGTTATAATGTTTTCAAAAAGATTTTTATGAAACTTTATTTTTAGGCCAACTCACCCTTATTTTTCGCCCTTCCAGGTATTAGTGGCAGAGATTTCGTGTCGCCAATGATTTCTGGCAAAATGTTGATGTGGGAATACTATTGATGGTATAATTCTCAATCCAATATGTTGTACTTTACTTATGCTTTGACATCATGTGTGGAATGGGTTCATTCCTGCTCACTAGAGCACTCTTACATTTAGGCACTTTTAGGTTTAAATTTACTCACATTTCCACATCACTACACTTTATGGCTTCGTCACCCTCCTGGTGTCGGCCAGCATAGCTCGATTCGAAATCCAGGTGGACATTCTGGGTCGGGGTGTGTCATTCATGAATTTTCATTAAGTAAGGATAAAATGACAACAATACCCTATATTTTTGTCAAATTATTGAGGCCTATTATTTATTAAATTCATTTTTGTCATTTTGATCGTTATTTAATAGAGATTTTTCATGGAATGACCAAAATAATTGATAGTGGACAAACTCAGGGACCACTTATATCGATTTTAAATTTCAAGGACCAAAGTGAGGAGTTGTACCAATCCCAATGACCATTTTGGATAAAAAGCATTTCACAAAATATGGTTGGTTTTATGAATTCTAAAACATTACTGTGTTTGGTTTTACACTAAGGTTTTTGTTCGTTCCAAGTATTCCATGTCTTTTCTTAAAGTCTCATTCCAAGTCTTCACAGGTCCTCCTCTACCCCTCTTATCTTGTGCTTCTATCTTATAATCACATTTTCTAACCGAAGTGCATGTACATTTTTGTTTCACATGTCCAAACCACCATCATCTATTTTTTCTCATCTTATCTTCAATTGCGATCATTCCTACTTTAACTCCCGACAAAAAAAAATGATGTGCATAAATTATTTTCCTTACTTTAAATGTGGACTATAGTCGGCAAATTATTTTCTAACACATCATTCTTGGTTGTATGATCTTTTATGAACAAAGAAAATTGATTAATTCGGAAAAGGCGCGAAGAGAAGGATTGTAGAGGCTTTGAGTTCGTATTGGTTTTGCCGTACAAGAAAAATGATAGGGAGTTCATAATTTTTTACATTATTTTGTAGACCACATCATATGGTCTAAAAAATATGATTCAAGAAGATAGTCTCTATAATGTTACCCTTTGCACAATCTTGCTAAAATTTCAATGATTTATTTCATTTAGAAAGTACGGTTCAAATTCTTCGATTTTGACAAAAAACTTAGAGGTACTTTGGTCATTCTTAATTTAATTCAACTTTTTGAAGAAAGATTGTGAGAAAACTTTTTTCTTAGTTCTTTCAAGAGTAATGCTAAGTGAACTAACTTTTTAGACTAAATTTGTAAACCATATAATGTGTCACCAATTGAAAATAAGTACATTAATCAACACTTCAATAATAATCCAATCATGAACAAACATGTCAGGTGGTTTATAAAATTTGGTCTAAAAAATTAGTTTCCCTATCATTACCCTTCATTTAAACATCATGATAGAGAAATTAAGGTTCGTTTAGAAGTGTTTTTAAAATGATTGAAAGTT